GAGAATGAGCAGAGCAGAGGAGGAGGACAGTAGAGCCAATAACAAAGAAATCTCTGGATCCACTGATAGATGTACAGAAATCTTGGCAGATACTACTGCGCGTAATTTCAGTGTTTGTGCTGCTGTGGTTTGAAATTTAACATTTCAAGTATAAAATCTCTGAAATCCACATGCTTAAATTCCTGTGTTTAACATGTACATATGCAATTTTTTTAATCACTTAAAGATTTACATTTTGATATCATATTGGATAACTTCAGTCTTGCATCACATCAGTGAAATTATATTTTAAAGCAGTTTCCAGACATAATGACCACATTTTGACTAATCTAGTGATTACATGCAAAGTGAAGCTACATGATTACAATGATCCTGCAAATCAGAGTCCCATATCTCCAGATGAGGATTTTCCTGCTGTATGAGAGTAGCATTACTTCCAGTAATGCCACTGTTTTGCACATGTCTCAACTCTGTATATTTTTATATATTTTATTTATTGTTTACTCTATTTAATTTGTAAAATATGTGTACACACACACAGAAAAATATTTAGTATACACATCCAGAAATGCATATACTATTATATATTGTACATATATTTATTAGTTTCAGATGTAGCCATTCTTGTATTTTGCTTGTTTACATTATTGTATTTGCACAACTCTGTTGCTTGTGAAGCTCGCACACAAGAATTTCACTCACATGTACTGTACCAATGTACCTGCACATGTGATGTGACAATAAAAGTGATTTGATTTGATTCAAGTCACAACTGGCAACTGGCAATGGTCATAAACAACTACAGATAAAACACATTAAAGCAATCTTAAGTCATGTTGTATAATATAACCGTAGTATGGAAAACTCTGGGTTTCCCTGGTCAGTAATTCCCGTTACTGCAAAGAGCTAAGTGAGTAGAAGATGAATGATTTCCACATACTGTAAAGTAAAAGATAATTTGCATTTTTTTAAGCACAGGAGAGAGAAAAAATAGAGCCCCACATAACCGTCTCTACACCCTGAGAGATTTGAGCTCTCCGATATCTTTTATCAAGGTCTCGGAGATAAATTAGCTTTTTAGGGATTTGGCTTTTTCACAATCATCCTTAGGAAAGGCCAGGTGATTTAAATATCAAAGCTTTAACTATACAGCGACTCTTCAAACCTTGTCCCAACAATCAGAAGCAATTGGCTCCTCCAAGCAGCGTTTTAGTATGCTAAAAGCTAAAATCCTCCACAAAGCAGGAGAAGGAAAGAAACAAAGGGTTTTCATGTAGCCACTTCCTCAGTTCATGATATAATTAAGAAATAGCAGTGAACAGGAACCGTAGGGTCAATATAAGTTCAGAAAACTTTTTTTTTTCTCCCCCCAGAAAGAACTGCTATAAGAATGTGAGCTTTATGGAAATGTCAGGTGGGAAAAATAAACTTTCATGCATCATTATCAGAAAAGTCAGCTTTGGAAATCTGCAAATAAACAGCTAAACAAGCATTTTAGAGACGAGTTCTGTGGACTGAAAAAGTAAAAAAAAAAAAAATCATTTTGAGGCTGCAATAAGCAAAGCTGTTTTGTGCAGGATTTCATAAAAAAAATGCACTACAGTAGCAACTGCTAAGCAAGGGGATAGATCGATCATACTTTTGGCTTGTGTTTCAGCCAGTGGCACGGGAAACATTTCGGTGGTAGAGAGAAGAATGGATTCAATGAAATACCAGCAAATTCTGCAAGCAAACATGAGACCATCTGTATAGATGCTGTAGTAGGAAAGAGGATGGCTTCTACAACAGGATAATGATCCTAAACACACTTTAAAATCCGCGGTGGAGTATCTCAAGAAGCACAGGCCCTGACAGCCAACCCAACTGTGGATCACAAAAGAAAAGACGGTCAAAGACTCTCACAGAACTTTTGTAAAGAAAAGGGTTGAAAAAGCACACCTAAAATGAAAGACTCTAAGCTGGCTGAAAAATGTGTTTACAAACTACGATACTTGCCAGAAGGGGTGTTACTAAGAGCTGACCATGCTCAGTCTCATGCTTCAGGTTCATGTTTCTCCTCTATTTTGAACAATAGATGATGGAAATGATTACCGTATTTCCCGGACTACAAAGCGCACCTGAATATTAGCCGCACAAGCTAAAATCAGGGGAAAATCCTGTTTTGTACATACATTAGCCGCACCTGACCAAAAGCCGCAGGTGTTTCAATGTTGACTTATCATATGTAAGAGAATTGTCAGGAAAGAGATGGCTGTTTGGAGACTCACCCCTTTTATTAATATTTTGAAAAACAAGTTATGGGTACATATTTGCATAACTTTTTAGGTATATGTACAAGTAGCGGTAATTACAAGTACGAAACATGTACTGTGCTTCATAAATGAGTAACAAATGTAGTACATACATAACAATAACCTACAGCACACCAGAAAAATAGATTCAGACTACCTTTTAGGCTCAGGTGCAGTGACACGGCTTTAACAAGAAGAAAAGTCAGTCATTCACCACCATCTTCCTGCGCACTAAAACCACCAAAGTCCTCCTCTCCGGTGTCGGATACGAACAGGGTCAGGATGGCTACGTCAATCACTCTCAGCTTCTTTCCTTCGTTGTCACTTTCAAAACCAAACAAATCCTCGTCGTCAGTGTCAGAGTCGAACACCCTCAGAAGGGCCGTGGCGGTGTCCTCCTCTCCATCATGCAGCAGTCCAGCCCTTCGAAATCCGTTGGTGATCATGGATGTTTTCGCACTTTTCCACGCTGTCAGATTCCACCGGTGGAGTTGAGCATAACTTGCTTTTCGCAAGTTTATCGCCGCTCGTCGTCCACGACTCCCGCTGAACGCGTAGCGTTAATTTGAAGTTTGTTTTTCGCGCTACTTGTACGGCACTATGTTGCCTGGCGGATGGACACGTGACCAAGATATCACTCTTGAACCCCGATACTGTGTGTCTGATCACATGCCCTTCCGCCAGGCAACGTAGTGCCGTACAACAGCGGAACAAACAAAACAAATCGTCTTAAGATATGACAAAAATCATGGACAATCCATAGAAAAGCCGCACCTGACTAAAAGCCGCAGGGTTCAAAAGCTTGTGCAAAAAGTAGCGGCTTATAGCCCGACAATTACGGTAAATAATCCTGCTCAAATTATCGAAGAACTGTATCTGGTTTGAAAATCAGGTCATCTATTACTCACTTTGTGTATTCACGGGAAGAGAAATTTTAACCAAGGGTACCAAAATCTGCAAGCCACTGTATATAGTTAGGGATTCAATTATTTCAACTCCAGCTGATTTTGTAGGTCAGTCTAGAATTTCAATGGAAGGTTTATTTGAACAGTGAGCGACAGGAACAATACCACCCCCCCCCCCCAAAAAAAAAAAAAAAATCCAGAAAAATGCATTTCAAAAAGTTGAACAAAATAAGTATTTGATCAATCAGCAAGATTTATGGCTCCCAGGTGTATTTTGTACAGGTAACAAGCTGACATTGGGAACCTTCGCAACTCGTTACCTGTATAAAAGACAGCAGCCCATAGAAGCAATCATTCTATCTAGATTCCAAACTCTGCACCATGGCCAAGGCCAGAGAGCATTCCAAGCATGTCAGGGACAAGATTGTGAACCAACGCAAGGCTGGAATGGGCTACAAGACCATCACAAAGCAGCTGGGTGAGAAGGTGAAAACAGATGCGCGATTATTCGCAGATGGAAGAACCATAAAATAATTGCCGATCTCCCCCAGTCTGGAGCTCCACACAAGATCTCACACGTTTCAATGATAATGAGAACGGTGAGGAACCAGGCCAGAACTACTTGGGAGGAGCTTGTCAATGATCTCAAGGTTGCTGGGACCATAGTCACCAACACACTACGCCGAGAAGGACTGAAATCGTGCAGTGCCCGCACAGTGTCCCTGCTCAACAAAGCACGTGTACAAGCCTGTTTGAAGTTTTCCACTGAACATCTTGATCATTCAGAGGAGGACTGGGTGAAATTGTTGTGGTCAGATGAGACCAAAATCGAGCTATTTTGGCCTCAACTCAACTTGCTGTGTTTGGAGGAGGAAGAAAGCTGCATATGACTCCAAGAACACAGTACCCACCGTCGAACACGGAGGTGGAAACATTGTGCTTTGGGGGTGTTTTTCTGCCAAGGGGACAGGACAACTGCACCACATCAAAGAGAGAATGGATGGGGCCATGTCAGCTCTTGAGTGAGAACCTCCTTCCCTCAGCCAAGGCATTGTAAATGGGTCGTGGGTCAGTATTCCACCATGACAGTGACACATGGCCAAGGCAACAAAAGATTGGCTCAAGAAGAAGCATATTAAGGTCTTGTAGTGGCCAAGTCAGTCCCCAGACCTTAATATGGTAAATGGCCTGTATTTGTACAGCGCTTTACTTAGTCCCCATGGACCACAAAGCGCTTTACACTACATTCAGTCATCCACCCATTCACAGGCACATTCACAAACTGCCAACTCTTGAGCCACGATTGCCCCATCAAAAATCTGTGGAGGGGGCTGACTGTTCGAGTTGTCAAACACGCCACAAAACATTAATGACCTGGAGAGGATCTGCAAAGAGGAGTGGGACAAAATCCCCCCTGAGATGTGTGCAAGACTTGTGACCAACTATAAGACTGGTCTGACCTCTATGATTACCAACAATTGTTTTTCCACCAAGTACTAAAGCATGTTTTGCAAATACTTATTTCATTCATGCAAATGCAAATTAATTTATAACCTTTCTGAAATGCATTTTTCTGGATTTTATGGTTATTGTTTAAATAAACCCACATCTGAAATCATAGACTGATCATTTCTTTGTTAGTGGGCAAACTAACAAAATCAGCTGGGGTTCCAATCGTTTTTTCCCTGACTGTGTAACCATCACATGTCATGTCTCAAAATAGCAGTCGTGGAAATTAAAGATGATTGGTATTGCTGCTGCATTGCTTTTCGAATGAGGGATAAACAAATTCTCTACTGCAAACCTGTCTTTCCAGTGTTCTTCATCGTGGTCTGGTTGGAGGACTCTGTGTTGAACTTGTCAAGCTCCAGCTTCAGGTACTCCTGAGAAATCTGAGCTTGTTCATCTGCAATGTCCACAGGTGATTGGTTGTTTCCGGCACATTCTGGGTATAAGGCTGCCCAGCCTCGAGGTCCATGGCTTCCTGCAGAAATAAAAGACACAAGATGTATGATGATTATGCACAATGCACACTAGCCCCTAGAAATCACATCTGTCTAAGCATACTGGCTCTGACACACACATAGAAGCCCTGACAATATTACTGGAACAGCAGCAATAAGAGTTCTGTGCTATATTCACTGAGCTGCAGTGCCTTCTAAATCTGTTCGCACCCCACCCTCCCACTGCAGGGAAAACATGTAAACATTATGAAAATTCATCATCTGGGTAAAGGCAACTCCAGTCTTAATTGTCTATGTATATGATATACATATCCATAGGAAGCATAATCCCATCGTGCTGCACTAATTGAAATTGAGCCTGCAGTGGGCACAGAATTGATGGGCACCCATCTCTCCTTCCATCCTTAAAACAAAGCAAAATATAGAAGAAAACAAGGGGGGACCTACAACAAATATTTAAACATATTCAACAGAAAATACTTCAGATTAACCATTAATCTGCTGTGTGTGCTGAAAACGAACTTCCTGTAACATCATCATCCACTGTCTGCACTTTTCTAATCCTCTATCCCCTACAGTGGCGGCGCTACAAAGGAATAATCCACAACCGACAGGGGTCCCCTTGATCTCTTCTCGGGTACAATTGGCCAATGCAACAACAAAAGCTGAGGGGATCAAGGGAACAAGGAAGCATGCATGGATTTTAACTTTTCTGGGTTAACACAATATTCATGATCCCATTCCCCACAGACATAGGGCAACTTTGCTACAGGCTTATGAAAAAGATATAAGAACTCCCCTTCATGAGAAGACACCGAATCAAGGGTGGCTTTAGGGCTTGCTGCATTGAAATACCTTGCAGCCAATGAGGCTGTGCTCAAGTCTCTTAAAATGATAGTGTGACATTTAAGATTATTTGGAAATAATCAGTGTTTTAACATATCGACCAGAGGACAAATATGCACTTGAAGTGTGTGCAGATCCAGAAAGAGAAGTTGCTTTATTAATCGCTCAAATAAAAAGGGCCAGGTTCTTAAAAGTGCACTAAAATCAAGGAAATATCTTTGATTTGTCCACCAAATTCACAAGACCACCTACAAGAGTATAGAATAATAAGGTCTGAATAATAGTGAAATATTTAAATGAATTGGAGCTACATTTCTAACTAATGAGTACATCTACAGAGCGGGATTATATTTATCAGTCATGATTGTAGACTCACCAATATATTTGTACCAATATCAACCCTAATATTTCATAAAATGAAAGAGGACTCCATTATGAGAAACCAGTAATACTATGAAGCAAGTGAAAGCTGCTTGCCAAACATAAATCCCGAAAGGATTTGCATAAAATGGGAGCAAATGTCGACCATGATGCAATACAATGTTACGTGCACAGAAGTTTGTTAAGCCTTTATATAAAAATGTACATTTTTCCCTTATCATGTTTAACTTGTATTTTAAGGTAGTTACTACCTTGCTATCTAAATGGAAAGTGTATCGAGACCAATCTTTTTAAAAAGCTAATTTTTAAATGAAAGTTCTGTAATCTATTAAATTCCCCATCAACAATGAAACAACTGCTTCCTATAACGTAAAAAGCTGCTTGTTACTAAGGCAAACCACCAAATATCTAGCAATTCAAAGTGATTTTATACAGCAACCACAGCAACCACATCCTCGGGATCACTAAGCAGTTGGATTCTCATATTGCTTCATTTAAAAAACAAAAAAACAAAAAAAACAAACCTAATGCTTAGAATCAAGAAATTATTTCACTGGTTAAAGAAAATCCATCTAACTCAATCTAAATCAAGACAACCTTTCAAGTAGGTAATCTCGTTCAAAATTCTAACAATCACTTCCAAGAAGGTGCAAACCACTGGTTACACTCAAGAACAGGAAGGACAGATTAGACTTAGACAACTTGTAGCTTCTGTCAGAATGATAGGAAGAGAAAAGAAGCAAAAGAACAGCTCATGATTGAAAGCATAACACATCAATCTGTCAATCATATTGGAGGCAATGTTATGGCACTGGCATGCATGACTGCCAACAAAACCAGTCTGTTAACAGAAGTAGAAGGATGAATTCTGAAGTGTACAGGGCTATGCTCTCTGCTCAGATTCATCCAAAAGCTACAAAAACTGATTGGACAGAGCTTCACGGGGTAAATGGATAAGACCCAAAGGACACTGCAAAACCAACCCAAGAGCTTCTCGGTGCATAAAAAAAGTCATGATATTCTTCAGCAGCCAAGTCAGTCACGTGATGTCAACCCAACAGAGCTTGCTTTTCAGTTAGTGAAGACAAGTTGAAGGCAGAGAGATGTTCAAACAACCATCAACTGAAGGTGACTGCAGTGAAAGCCTAACAGAGCATCTCAAGGAGATTCACTGACAGTCACTGAAAGCTGAGAATTTTCATCCAAGTATTAAAAACAATTCCTACATTTAAACGGTGTAATTTTGTCCATTTAAGCTGCCGGAAATGGAAATGTATGAAAATTGTACCGTGCAATTTCTAAATAGTTACAGCAATATTTTGTTTAAACCTCTTAAGTTAAAGCTGAAAATCTACAGTTCAATCACATCTTGGCTGTTTAATTTTAAAATCAACTGTGGTTGTCTGCAGAGGTGTAATTATAAATGGTTTTCAGATTTAAAATTTGTTTGGTTACCAATGTTGCTGATAAAATTACACATTACACACACAATTACACAAGTACACATTTGAGGTAGTTGGCTACGACTTGCTTCAGTCTCATTTGTGTTTGCAGAAAATGTATGTTTTCTTTGGCGCAGCGGTCTGAAATGTCTCCAACTGCTCTGAATGCTTACCATTTCCCTAACTGATAAAAGCGAGCTATGGGGGCTAGCAAAGCTACAGATAAAAAAAAAAAATTAAATAAAAAAATCCATCACCCTAAAAACTGCTCTGGTTCTGCAGTGGGCAATTTCAACCCTCATTCTCTTGCTTTCCCATTCTCCCCCTTTAGTGAATCGTTTCAAACGACAACAAATTTCAGATGTTACTGAGATCCACAAGGCTTCACAGATCTTGATAACATATTTCAAAATGAGTAAGTCACGGAATATAAAAACAACTTTGAATTATTGTTGGTAAGCAATATGATATTCAGTCATAAAGTTCAGGTGTAAATGTTATTAAACTAGCACATTGGATTGACTGTTGTTTCACAGGTTTCTTTCATTTGAAGTGTAAAACTGTGTAATCTTTTGCTAATTTTCCAGTGAAACAAACATTACATCCCATTTACTGCAAGAGAAATAATTCAGCCTTTCAAGAAGAGAAAGGGAGGAGCAGTGCTAAAATCAGATAAGTGCGGGTTACACAGCAGTCGATTAATCTGTCTCATCACCATCCATCAGAATGACTATAATCCTAGCGGTTAAGCCTTTCTCATTGCAGCCTTGCCTCTCTATAAGGCTGAGGTGAAGAAATTAAAAAAAAGGCACTGGTTCCAAAATGCGGTGAAATGATTTATCTGAAACATTACACACTATAGGTATTTTCAACTACACTGAGTACGTGGCTCTGTGAGAAGAGCTCCTGCAATATGCTACATGTCACATTTATTCTACTGAAAATCTTTTGTGCCGTCAGGTAGTTCAATGAGTATGCTGGATTTTATGAGCATATATTTGACAAACAAAAATAAATGACTTGCGCTTATGTAAAAGCTCCTATCTCAGGAATATCTCCAGCTTAAACGGAAAATCACAGCATGGTTCAACAGCTATGAATCACCGCTCACATTTACAGTTCGCCGTGGGATTCAAGAAGGGGGAAAGAATGAAACTAAATGGCAGTTCAGCTGGTAACTGCAGGCGTGATTAGAAGCATGGTTGTGTGACTTTTCGAGACCAGTTGCAAGTTAGAAATATCAAGTTCTTCAGTTCTACAGAATAAGCTAGACGCTGCTCAGATGCTGCGCTGATACTAAATTAATAAATACCCAGTGGTATCAAAACAAAAGCTCACAAATGTGATCATATGGTTAAAAAAAAAAAAAAAGAAGAAGAAGAAATAAAGAAAGAAAGTAGAAGCTAAATCATCAAAAAAAATGTTTTATTTGGTCAGCTATTTCTAATTCTTTGCAAGAAAAGAGATGGTGATGAGTGACAAGTGGCTCATTTATGCAGTTTGGTGTCTTTGAGGGATTTGCAACACTGCATTCTTAGGGGGCATATTGTATGCAATAACTGCTTAACAATTAACTAATGATTATAGGTTATTATAAGGTGTAATCTTGGTTCAGAAAATTCAATGCACACAGCAGCAAACAAAACCTCTGACAAGAAAGAATAAATAGCCGAACAGCAATCAGCTCAAAACATGCTGAAAAAGCCTCACCAAGGTAAAACTATTTTTATTCCTGCAGGTTTAATGCTAAAATGTCTATATGCCGACATTTTTTTCTGATGGGTTAAAATGCAGGCTTACTGCTAAAACATCACCTCTAAATATGGATTTTATGTAATCAAGCCTTCATCGGGCTACTTACAATCTTCGCTAGAATTAAGATGGGTGAGGCCTATAACATTCTTCGCTCATTTTTGTTAATCCGAGCTGTTCCGGGCTTAGCTCTGTGTGATGTGACTCTGCTCTCTGCTATCTACTTGTTTTTAAGTAAAACAGGCACATGTTTCTCTCAATCTGGCACTTTCAGTTCCAGGCGTCATCCCATTAACCTTGGGATAAACAGCCGTGCCTGTGCTACCATGGCAATGCTGACAGAATGGCGATTGCCTTGTCATTTCCGTTTTGTCCCCTGCAGTGAAAGCACGCATGCTGTATGCCGGCTGGCAGACCTCCCAGAATTGGCACACTAGCACTTGCAAAAATCTACGCCGATCAGTCCATATGCATGAGTACCACTGACAACAAAACATGGCCAGAAGATAGAAGGCACAGTGTCAGCAGTAAGGAGGGTCACAGCGGTTGTATAGATGGAGAAGCGCAAAAGAAGATCATCCTATGTGTGTGCTGCCTAA